TTTGTCCTTTCTATGTCGTCGTCAGTGTGCCCGAGTGGTCTAAGGGGGTAGACTCAAGTTCTACTGTGTTCGCACTCGTGGGTTCAAATCCCACCGCTGACACGTAGGCACCGTCCACTGGACGTTACCTGCTGCTCAGCAAGAACGAAACGGCAGCATGTGAGACACCGGCCAGCACTAAGCGAGGCAGTAAGCACGACAAGTGCTGAAATCTTTGGATGACTTCGGCGTCTTGTGCGCGTATGCAGAAGTCGTATCGTCAATCCTCTGGCAAGTGCCACTGATGCTTCTGTAAAAGGTAGTCTCCGACGGGACTCGAACCCGCAATCTCTCCCGCTTCGTAGGCGGATGCCTTATCCATTGGGCCACGGGGACGCTTCACAAGTGACACACCGCAACCAGCCCAAAATGGGCCTTGCCGGAGATCGATTCCGGGACCTCTCGCACCCTAAGCGAGAATCATGGTATCCACCCAATCAGTAAAAGATTTTCGCAAGGTATTCGTGTTGACCTGTAGAGTGGAAACGCCACATCAGGATTCTGGCACGTGATCCTCCCACTATCAGAAGCGAAGGTTTTTCCCTGCTCTGTTATCCAGTCTGGGACGGTGCACCGTTCCTTAGTGACCTTGGTGTGAACTCTCACGGGAGCTCACCACAATGTCGACTCCTGGTTTGAAACGGGCGCGCCATCCACACCCTGTGGATAGTGTCGCCACCACACGTGTCACAACCCTCGTACCTTACTACCTGGCAGAAGCGTTCCGTTACAAGTTGGCGCCACCCCACCCGGTGATGCATAGAGCCTGTTCGCACTGTGTGTCGTGTGATGTGTCGTGGTTGTTGTGTTGTTGTGTGTGTATTTGTTTGTGTTTGTCCTTTCTATGTCGTCGTCAGTGTGCCCGAGTGGTCTAAGGGGGTAGACTCAAGTTCTACTGTGTTCGCACTCGTGGGTTCAAATCCCACCGCTGACACGTAGGCACCGTCCACTGGACGTTACCTGCTGCTCAGCAAGAACGAAACGGCAGCATGTGAGACACCGGCCAGCACTAAGCGAGGCAGTAAGCACGACAAGTGCTGAAATCTTTTGGATGACTTCGGCGTCTTGTGCGCGTATGCAGAAGTCGTATCGTCAATCCTCTGGCAAGTGCCACTGATGCTTCTGTAAAAGGTAGTCTCCGACGGGACTCGAACCCGCAATCTCCCCGCTTCGTAGGCGGATGCCTTATCCATTGGGCCACGGGGACGCTTCACAAGTGACACACCGCAACCAGCCCAAAATGGGCCTTGCCGGAGATCGATTCCGGGACCTCTCGCACCCTAAGCGAGAATCATGGTATCCACCCAATCAGTAAAAGATTTTCGCAAGGTATTCGTGTTGACCTGTAGAGTGGAAACGCCACATCAGGATTCTGGCACGTGATCCTCCCACTATCAGAAGCGAAGGTTTTTCCCTGCTCTGTTATCCAGTCTGGGACGGTGCACCGTTCCTTAGTGACCTTGGTGTGAACTCTCACGGGAGCTCACCACAATGTCGACTCCTGGTTTGAAACGGGCGCGCCATCCACACCCTGTGGATAGTGTCGCCACCACACGTGTCACAACCCTCGTACCTTACTACCTGGCAGAAGCGTTCCGTTACAAGTTGGCGCCACCCCACCCGGTGATGCATAGAGCCTGTTCGCACTGTGTGTCGTGTGATGTGTCGTGGTTGTTGTGTTGTTGTGTGTGTATTTGTTTGTGTTTGTCCTTTCTATGTCGTCGTCAGTGTGCCCGAGTGGTCTAAGGGGGTAGACTCAAGTTCTACTGTGTTCGCACTCGTGGGTTCAAATCCCACCGCTGACACGTAGGCACCGTCCACTGGACGTTACCTGCTGCTCAGCAAGAACGAAACGGCAGCATGTGAGACACCGGCCAGCACTAAGCGAGGCAGTAAGCACGACAAGTGCTGAAATCTTTTGGATGACTTCGGCGTCTTGTGCGCGTATGCAGAAGTCGTATCGTCAATCCTCTGGCAAGTGCCACTGATGCTTCTGTAAAGGTAGTCTCCGACGGGACTCGAACCCGCAATCTCCCGCTTCGTAGGCGGATGCCTTATCCATTGGGCCACGGGGACGCTTCACAAGTGACACACCGCAACCAGCCCAAAATGGGCCTTGCCGGAGATCGATTCCGGGACCTCTCGCACCCTAAGCGAGAATCATGGTATCCACCCAATCAGTAAAAGATTTTCGCAAGGTATTCGTGTTGACCTGTAGAGTGGAAACGCCACATCAGGATTCTGGCACGTGATCCTCCCACTATCAGAAGCGAAGGTTTTTCCCTGCTCTGTTATCCAGTCTGGGACGGTGCACCGTTCCTTAGTGACCTTGGTGTGAACTCTCACGGGAGCTCACCACAATGTCGACTCCTGGTTTGAAACGGGCGCGCCATCCACACCCTGTGGATAGTGTCGCCACCACACGTGTCACAACCCTCGTACCTTACTACCTGGCAGAAGCGTTCCGTTACAAGTTGGCGCCACCCCACCCGGTGATGCATAGAGCCTGTTCGCACTGTGTGTCGTGTGATGTGTCGTGGTTGTTGTGTGTGTGTTTGTTTGTGTTTGTCCTTTCTATGTCGTCGTCAGTGTGCCCGAGTGGTCTAAGGGGGTAGACTCAAGTTCTACTGTGTTCGCACTCGTGGGTTCAAATCCCACCGCTGACACGTAGGCACCGTCCACTGGACGTTACCTGCTGCTCAGCAAGAACGAAACGGCAGCATGTGAGACACCGGCCAGCACTAAGCGAGGCAGTAAGCACGACAAGTGCTGAAATCTTTGGATGACTTCGGCGTCTTGTGCGCGTATGCAGAAGTCGTATCGTCAATCCTCTGGCAAGTGCCACTGATGCTTCTGTAAAAGGTAGTCTCCGACGGGACTCGAACCCGCAATCTCCCGCTTCGTAGGCGGATGCCTTATCCATTGGGCCACGGGGACGCTTCACAAGTGACACACCGCAACCAGCCCAAAATGGGCCTTGCCGGAGATCGATTCCGGGACCTCTCGCACCCTAAGCGAGAATCATGGTATCCACCCAATCAGTAAAAGATTTTCGCAAGGTATTCGTGTTGACCTGTAGAGTGGAAACGCCACATCAGGATTCTGGCACGTGATCCTCCCACTATCAGAAGCGAAGGTTTTTCCCTGCTCTGTTATCCAGTCTGGGACGGTGCACCGTTCCTTAGTGACCTTGGTGTGAACTCTCACGGGAGCTCACCACAATGTCGACTCCTGGTTTGAAACGGGCGCGCCATCCACACCCTGTGGATAGTGTCGCCACCACACGTGTCACAACCCTCGTACCTTACTACCTGGCAGAAGCGTTCCGTTACAAGTTGGCGCCACTCTACCCGGTGATGCATAGAGCCTGTTCGCACTGTGTGTCGTGTGATGTGTCGTGGTTGTTGTGGTTGTTGTGTGTGTATTTGTTTGTGTTTGTCCTTTCTATGTCGTCGTCAGTGTGCCCGAGTGGTCTAAGGGGGTAGACTCAAGTTCTACTGTGTTCGCACTCGTGGGTTCAAATCCCACCGCTGACACGTAGGCACCGTCCACTGGACGTTACCTGCTGCTCAGCAAGAACGAAACGGCAGCATGTGAGACACCGGCCAGCACTAAGCGAGGCAGTAAGCACGACAAGTGCTGAAATCTTTTGGATGACTTCGGCGTCTTGTGCGCGTATGCAGAAGTCGTATCGTCAATCCTCTGGCAAGTGCCACTGATGCTTCTGTAAAAGGTAGTCTCCGACGGGACTCGAACCCGCAATCTCCCGCTTCGTAGGCGGATGCCTTATCCATTGGGCCACGGGGACGCTTCACAAGTGACACACCGCAACCAGCCCAAAATGGGCCTTGCCGGAGATCGATTCCGGGACCTCTCGCACCCTAAGCGAGAATCATGGTATCCACCCAATCAGTAAAAGATTTTCGCAAGGTATTCGTGTTGACCTGTAGAGTGGAAACGCCACATCAGGATTCTGGCACGTGATCCTCCCACTATCAGAAGCGAAGGTTTTTCCCTGCTCTGTTATCCAGTCTGGGACGGTGCACCGTTCCTTAGTGACCTTGGTGTGAACTCTCACGGGAGCTCACCACAATGTCGACTCCTGGTTTGAAACGGGCGCGCCATCCACACCCTGTGGATAGTGTCGCCACCACACGTGTCACAACCCTCGTACCTTACTACCTGGCAGAAGCGTTCCGTTACAAGTTGGCGCCACCCCACCCGGTGATGCATAGAGCCTGTTCGCACTGTGTGTCGTGTGATGTGTCGTGGTTGTTGTGTTGTTGTGTGTGTATTTGTTTGTGTTTGTCCTTTCTATGTCGTCGTCAGTGTGCCCGAGTGGTCTAAGGGGGTAGACTCAAGTTCTACTGTGTTCGCACTCGTGGGTTCAAATCCCACCGCTGACACGTAGGCACCGTCCACTGGACGTTACCTGCTGCTCAGCAAGAACGAAACGGCAGCATGTGAGACACCGGCCAGCACTAAGCGAGGCAGTAAGCACGACAAGTGCTGAAATCTTTGGATGACTTCGGCGTCTTGTGCGCGTATGCAGAAGTCGTATCGTCAATCCTCTGGCAAGTGCCACTGATGCTTCTGTAAAAGGTAGTCTCCGACGGGACTCGAACCCGCAATCTCCCGCTTCGTAGGCGGATGCCTTATCCATTGGGCCACGGGGACGCTTCACAAGTGACACACCGCAACCAGCCCAAAATGGGTCTTGCCGGAGATCGATTCCGGGACCTCTCGCACCCTAAGCGAGAATCATGGTATCCACCCAATCAGTAAAAGATTTTCGCAAGGTATTCGTGTTGACCTGTAGAGTGGAAACGCCACATCAGGATTCTGGCACGTGATCCTCCCACTATCAGAAGCGAAGGTTTTTCCCTGCTCTGTTATCCAGTCTGGGACGGTGCACCGTTCCTTAGTGACCTTGGTGTGAACTCTCACGGGAGCTCACCACAATGTCGACTCCTGGTTTGAAACGGGCGCGCCATCCACACCCTGTGGATAGTGTCGCCACCACACGTGTCACAACCCTCGTACCTTACTACCTGGCAGAAGCGTTCCGTTACAAGTTGGCGCCACCCCACCCGGTGATGCATAGAGCCTGTTCGCACTGTGTGTCGTGTGATGTGTCGTGGTTGTTGTGTTGTTGTGTGTGTGTTTGTTTGTGTTTGTCCTTTCTATGTCGTCGTCAGTGTGCCCGAGTGGTCTAAGGGGGTAGACTCAAGTTCTACTGTGTTCGCACTCGTGGGTTCAAATCCCACCGCTGACACGTAGGCACCGTCCACTGGACGTTACCTGCTGCTCAGCAAGAACGAAACGGCAGCATGTGAGACACCGGCCAGCACTAAGCGAGGCAGTAAGCACGACAAGTGCTGAAATCTTTTGGATGACTTCGGCGTCTTGTGCGCGTATGCAGAAGTCGTATCGTCAATCCTCTGGCAAGTGCCACTGATGCTTCTGTAAAAGGTAGTCTCCGACGGGACTCGAACCCGCAATCTCCCGCTTCGTAGGCGGATGCCTTATCCATTGGGCCACGGGGACGCTTCACAAACTACACACTGCAACTAGACCAAAATCGATATTTCACCGCTTATAGCTACAGCGACGCGCCCGCACCACTCCACATTACAACCGCATGTATCCAGCAGTCCTGGCACATCCCGCATCGCGTGTGTGGCATCAGTGAGAGAGTATGTAGTGCGCAACGCGCCAGGGAAGCGATCGATGTGTTTCATAGCTGCCTTTCAAAACTGTAGACAAGCACGCGAGAGTGAGCGGTGGATCAAATGCAAAACACTTGGAGATTGTGAATCGAATAGACGGTTGACGTGTAAAAATCCATCGCTATCCTTCTGAAAGCATTGTCGTGACAGTGAAGGGTGGTGCTCACGGACGACCAAAGTAGTCTGCATAAACTGCAAATCGTTCGTGACACTAGAGGGAGTAATAGGAGCTGTACGGACTTCATCGCAGATCATACGGATGGACGGCACGATGTTTCCGCCGATCAAACGACTATGACCACAACGTTGCATGAATACGGTACAGGTGTAGCTGTCTTCCACACCGATTGCCTTCTTTATTTCCGTGTATCCCAATGAAGGCTTCCGAGAGATGTCATGTATGAACGCTGACTGGTCCAGCGTCGTAACGTCGTGAGTCATCATCTGTTCGAAAAGAAGGAGTGCAAAAGAACGAGTAGAGAAAAGGTAGTCTCCGACGGGACTCTAACCCGCAATCTCCCGCTTCGTAGGCGGATGCCTTATCCATTGGGCCACGGGGACGCTTCACAAACTACACACCGCAACCAGACCAAAATCGATATTTCACCGCTTATAGCTACAGCGACGCGCCCGTACCACTCCACATTACAACCGCATGTATCCAGCAGTCCTGGCACATCCCGCATCGCGTGTGTGGCATCAGTGAGAGAGTATGTAGTGCGCAACGCGCCAGGGAAGCGATCGATGTGTTTCAAAGCTGCCTTTCAAAACTGTAGACAAGCACGCGAGGGTGAGCGGTGGATCAAATGCAAAACACTTGGAGATTGTGAATCGAATAGACGGTTGACGTGTAAACATCCATCGCTATCCTTCTGAAAGCATTGTCGTGACAGTGAAGGGTGGTGCTCACGGACGACCAAAGTAGTCTGCATAAACTGCAAATCGTTCGTGACACTAGAGGGAGTAATGGGAGCTGTACGGACTTCATCGCAGATCATACGGATGGACGGCACGATGTTTCCGCCGATCAAACGACTATGACCACAACGTTGCATGAACACGGTACAGGTGCAGCTGTCTTCCATACCGGTTGCCTTCTTTATTTCCGTGTATCCCAATGAAGGCTTCCGAGAGATGTCATGTATGAACGCTGACTGGTCCAGCGTCGAAACGTCGTGAGTCATCATCTGTTCGAAAAGAAGGAGTGCAAAAGAACGAGTAGAGAAAAGGTAGTCTCCGACGGGACTCTAACCCGCAATCTCCCGCTTCGTAGGCGGATGCCTTATCCATTGGGCCACGGGGACGCTTCACAAACTACACACCGCAACCACACACAAAATCGATATTTCACCGCTTATAGCTACAGCGACGCGCCCGTACCACTCCACATTACAACCGCATGTATCCAGCAGTCCTGGCACATCCCGCATCGCGTGTGTGGCATCAGTGAGAGAGTATGTAGTGCGCAACGCGCCAGGGAAGCGATCGATGTGTTTCATAGCTGCCTTTCAAAACTGTAGACAAGCACGCGAGGGTGAGCGGTGGATCAAACTGCAAAACACTTGGAGATTGTGAATCGAATAGACGGTTGACGTGTAAACATCCATCGCTATCCTTCTGAAAGTATTGTCGTGACAGTGAAGGGTGGTGCTCACGGACGACCAAAGTAGTCTGCATAAACTGCAAATCGTTCGTGACACTAGATGGAGTAATGGGAGCTGTACGGACTTCATCGCAGATCATACGGATGGACGGCACGATGTTTCCGCCGATCAAACGACTATGACCACAACGTTGCATGAACACGGTACAGGTGCAGCTGTCTTCCATACCGGTTGCCTTCTTTATTTCCGTGTATCCCAATGAAGGCTTCCGAGAGATGTCATGTATGAACGCTGACTGGTCCAGCGTCGTAACGTCGTGAGTCATCATCTGTTCGAAAAGAAGGAGTGCAAAAGAACGAGTAGAGAAAAGGTAGTCTCCGACGGGACTCTAACCCGCAATCTCCCGCTTCGTAGGCGGATGCCTTATCCATTGGGCCACGGGGACGCTTCACAAACTACACACCGCAACCAGACCAAAATCGATATTTCACCGCTTATAGCTACAGCGACGCGCCCGTACCACTCCACATTACAACCGCATGTATCCAGCAGTCCTGGGACATCCTGCATCGCGTGTGTGGCATCAGTGAGAGAGTATGTAGTGCGCAACGCGCCAGGGAAGCGATCGATGTGTTTCATAGCTGCCTTTCACAACTGTAGACAAGCACGCGAGGGTGAGCGGTGGATCAAACTGCAAAACACTTGGAGATTGTGAATCGAATAGACGGTTGACGTGTAAACATCCATCGCTATCCTTCTGAAAGTATTGTCGTGACAGTGAAGGGTGGTGCTCACGGACGACCAAAGTAGTCTGCATAAACTGCAAATCGTTCGTGACACTAGATGGAGTAATGGGAGCTGTACGGACTTCATCGCAGATCATACGGATGGACGGCACGATGTTTCCGCCGATCAAACGACTATGACCACAACGTTGCATGAACACGGTACAGGTGCAGCTGTCTTCCATACCGATTGCCTTCTTTATTTCCGTGTATCCCAATGAAGGCTTCCGAGAGATGTCATGTATGAACGCTGATTGTTCCAGCGTCGTAACGTCGTGAGTCATCATCTGTTCGAAAAGAAGGAGTGCAAAAGAACGAGTAGAGAAAAGGTAGTCTCCGACGGGACTCTAACCCGCAATCTCCCGCTTCGTAGGCGGATGCCTTATCCATTGGGCCACGGGGACGCTTCACAAACTACACACCGCAACCAGACCAAAATCGATATTTCACCGCTTATAGCTACAGCGACGCGCCCGTACCACTCCACATTACAACCGCATGTATCCAGCAGTCCTGGGACATCCTGCATCGCGTGTGTGGCATCAGTGAGAGAGTATGTAGTGCGCAACGCGCCAGGGAAGCGATCGATGTGTTTCATAGCTGCCTTTCAAAACTGTAGACAAGCACGCGAGGGTGAGCGGTGGATCAAACTGCAAAACACTTGGAGATTGTGAATCGAATAGACGGTTGACGTGTAAACATCCATCGCTATCCTTCTGAAAGTATTGTCGTGACAGTGAAGGGTGGTGCTCACGGACGACCAAAGTAGTCTGCATAAACTGCAAATCGTTCGTGACACTAGATGGAGTAATGGGAGCTGTACGGACTTCATCGCAGATCATACGGATGGACGGCACGATGTTTCCGCCGATCAAACGACTATGACCACAACGTTGCATGAACACGGTACAGGTGCAGCTGTCTTCCATACCGGTTGCCATTTTTATTTCCGTGTATCCCAATGAAGGCTTCCGAGAGATGTCATGTATGAACGCTGACTGGTCCAGCGTCGTAACGTCGTGAGTCATCATCTGTTCGAAAAGAAGGAGTGCAAAGAACGAGTAGAGAAAGGTAGTCTCCGACGGGACTCTAACCCGCAATCTCCCGCTTCGTAGGCGGATGCCTTATCCATTGGGCCACGGGGACGCTTCACAAACTACACACCGCAACCAGACCAAAATCGATATTTCACCGCTTATAGCTACAGCGACGCGCCCGTACCACTCCACATTACAACCGCATGTATCCAGCAGTCCTGGCACATCCCGCATCGCGTGTGTGGCATCAGTGAGAGAGTATGTAGTGCGCAACGCGCCAGGGGAAGCGATCGATGTGTTTCATAGCTGCCTTTCAAAACTGTAGACAAGCACGCGAGGGTGAGCGGTGGATCAAACTGCAAAACACTTGGAGATTGTGAATCGAATAGACGGTTGACGTGTAAACATCCATCGCTATCCTTCTGAAAGTATTGTCGTGATAGTGAAGGGTGGTGCTCACGGACGACCAAAGTAGTCTGCATAAACTGCAAATCGTTCGTGACACTAGAGGGAGTAATGGGAGCTGTACGGACTTCATCGCAGATCATACGGATGGACGGCACGATGTTTCCGCCGATCAAACGACTATGACCACAACGTTGCATGAACACGGTACAGGTGCAGCTGTCTTCCATACCGGTTGCCATTTTTATTTCCGTGTATCCCAATGAAGGCTTCCGAGAGATGTCATGTATGAACGCTGACTGGTCCAGCGTCGAAACGTCGTGAGTCATCATCTGTTCGAAAAGAAGGAGTGCAAAGAACGAGTAGAGAAAAGGTAGTCTCCGACGGGACTCTAACCCGCAATCTCCCGCTTCGTAGGCGGATGCCTTATCCATTGGGCCACGGGGACGCTTCACAAACTACACACCGCAACCAGACCAAAATCGATATTTCACCGCTTATAGCTACAGCGACGCGCCCGTACCACTCCACATTACAACCGCATGTATCCAGCGGTCCTGGCACATCCCGCATCGCGTATGTAGCACCAGTGAGAGAGTATGTAGTGCGCAACGCGCCAGGGAAGCGATCGATGTGTTTCATAGCTGCCTTTCAAAACTGTAGACAAGCACGCGAGGGTGAGCGGTGGATCAAATGCAAAACACTTGGAGATTGTGAATC